CACGTGTCCCTTGTTAGCTTTGGCTAAAGTTAATTTCTTGAGTAAATCCACGAATCGGAAAGTCAGGGTGGTCTCTAGTCTTTTCAAGATATCAGATAGCATTCTGAGGTTGGAACACCGGCCTTCTCCCTGCCTTATTTTTGACTTAATGCTAATCTAACTGCAATACATGGGGAGACGAGCAGTAAGAACGGTTTTTTGTAATCGATCCGCCGCACGCGGCTGTCGCGGTCTCTCTCGCCGCGACGCGACGCGACAATTTTGTTCCTCGTGCACCACACCCTTAATACATGCAACGAATGGCCCAGGCACGTGGCCATGGCCAATAACCTTGCTCGAAACTAGGATGAATTTTTCACATACCCGAGGGAAACTGTGTTTGTGGAATGGTGCAATTCCATTTTTTGCTTGAACTCCTCGTTTAAGTAACAGTGTGGATCACCTGGTGATTCGGACAAGATCTATATTTGACTCAGGTTGGTTTCAAAGATCATCTGAGTGATAAAAGTTAAGTGATGATCAATCACAAACTAAAGCAGTTGCAGGAATTCTTCGAGGCATGCCGACGGGGTGATATCGAGAAGGTGAAAAACTATATCGCCGGCAAAAAAAGCAAAAAGCCTCGCACTCCGCTCAAGTATGTCGTCTTTGTAAATATCATATGATTTTGCAGCAGGAAACGCAATCGTTGTTGTAGAAACATACGATTCATATAAAACAACAGATAAGGGGGCAAAAAATCATGGAACATTAGGTGAAAATGGGCTCCCATGGGTCATTACTGACTTCTTTCGGGGTGCGCCATGCATTAAGCTCATGCACCTAACTAATTGGAACTGCAGCAGAATTTCGAACGTCACTCAAATTATCACCGAGAAGGCTGGAAATTAATTTTATCGGGAACCTGAAAATGCGCTTTTTTTCGTCACCATGATTACATTTTGTTCGCGAATAGTTTCGGCACCTTGGCCAGGCCACTTTTCCACGGTCTCCTTGTTTTTTACATTATGCATTTGCATAGTAAGTAGTACCGTAACGGGCATAAGCAAATAACGTTTCAACCTACAAGTATTTTTTACTGTCTCCAGAAGATTGCTTACTTAAAAAGGAGTAAATTTCTGAATAATAGGAATAGTTATTGAGTACAAATTACTGTAGGTTGCCTATTTCGAATTTGTGTGGGACACAAAAATTCTTAACTTGTAGAATATCGCTGCATTACAGTACAGTATAGATAGTATAAGCTTTGGATTCTTCAATATATTCTCATTCTTTACTTCGAATAAAATTAATTTAAATTTACCTGTTTAATAATCTCTTTAAAGTTTTCTTCGACCTGCCACGCCGTCTGCTGGATGGTTGGTTGCTTGTAAAGACCCTTCATCTCTCTACACGCCACTTCATTACGCCGCTCTTCATGGCCACCATCACATTTGCAAGTAATTACTTTGCTTTCCACTTTTGTAATAGCCATTTTTCATTAGTTACTGGTAAAAAAAGAAATGAAGCAGTGAGCCCCTCATGTGTTTGACGTTTGTGAAAAGCAATTATTACAATAACTTCTCAAAACACCAGGTGCATGGGCGAAGACTTTTTTGACAGCGCTCTCTTACAACGGTGGATCCGTTCTTTCAGTTGACAGTTGTTTTAAGTAAAGAAGTTACTTTGCCAACTGTCATTGTGAGTGTTTCCGCTCAAACGTTCAGTTCGAAAGAGTCGAAAAAACCAAAACTAGAAGGAAATGTCAAATATCTTCAGCATTACTTTCGTACCGGTTTGCTTTGTCGCTTCATACGATTGTTTTNTTTTTTTTTTTACTTTCATTTTTGGGGTTTTTTTTGGAACGGTTTTACATGTTCTCTATCGTGTGAACCTAGGAGTGTTCTATACACCTCTTTCATGGATCACTTTGAGCATTAAATCGGGAGAGGGAGTAGGAAAGCTCTGTGTAATCGATCCGCCGCACGCGGCTGTCGCGGGCCATCTGCCTCGTTATAACAGTTCTAGCGCTCTTCATACATTTCAACAGCTATGCGATTAGCAGTTTTGTCATCATTCTACTGTTAGTTTTGTTCCTGTATTTCTCACTTGGTGCTGCATTCTGCTACATTCTTTCGCGCGAGGCGTCTCCCTCGCCGCGACGCGACAATTTCGTTTCTACTGCACCACACCCCATTAGGTCATCTAACGCTTTACTGTCCGAGTTTCTGAACAAGTAATTGGTGAAGTTCATCGAACACTTACAGTATCATACATCGTCACTTCGATGTCCTGTACCAAAATCATAAATTCAGTCTGTATAACAGCTTTCCTTTAATTCGCTCTGATTCTCAGTTTTCATGCTCCTCGACTGATTGTTTAGTGAAGACATCTTCTACTGTTGCTGAGCCTTTTTCCGTTTTCTTTTCTCTTTCTTAGCTTTTAATTAATTTCACACGCTTTCCAAACATTTTGGTGCTGTCATCTAGACTGAGAAAGGTAGCCAAGTCTAATTTACTGATTACTTGTAATACAAGTACAGACATTATTTCCAGAGCATTAATCGAATCCGATAGACTATTGACATCGGCTAGGGACAAAAGAGGCTGTGTACCGTTACATTTGGGAGCATGGAACGGTCATTTTGAAGTTGCTAAGGTTGGACGAGTTTACGTTTCCACGTTTCTCTCTGTGAAGCATCTTAATAGTGGTCGATATTCAGCTCTTAGCCGAATCAGATCCGGACAGTGTTGATGCAGTAAACAATGCGCAAGAGTCGTCCTTACATCTAGCCGCTCAGCATGGTCATGACAAACTGGTTCGCGTCCTTCTCGAGGTATCCTTTCTAAGAGTATGAACCACAACTACACTTAGAGAATCTTTGAAAGTACTCCTGTTGCAAACAAGACTAATAGTATTATTGTGAATAGTTTTATCGTTATTTTTTTATAATTACTTTATTGGTTATTATTATTTTTATTTTATTAATGTTATTTTTACTATTATTATTATGTTATTATTTTCACTAGTATTATTATCATATTATTAGGTACTATGTAATTACTGAATCTTCGTAATGCAGCAGCTTAGTAGAATAATCTTAGTGCATGTAGGATTACAAGGTAATGGAATTAAATATTTTTGTTAGATATTTATTATGGACCAACTTTTTATTTTGGATAGGAAGTAAAAGTGAACCACCGGATTTTAGCATCATGCTGATCCACGACTCCGAAATGCCCGTTTCGAAACGCCGTTAGATGTAGCCGCACGAACCGGGCACGCCGTTGTCTGCAAAATTCTTATTGGCTTTTGCCCTGAACTGGCTTTACAGGTAACATTTCAAAGTAATGAGTATTATTAATCGTCAAGGGTAACTCCATGAATGAACGGTATCCGGAATTGGGGAAAAGCTAAAACTTGGGCAGCTTAAAGAATCGTGTGACCGCGTGCATTTGCCCCTGCGCTGCAGGCAAATCTTGGTAGGACCTCCAGTTTTCAAACGTCTTTGTGACTATAACAATTAGTTTAAGTTAGGATCTGATTTTCCCTTTGTTTTGAAGTGTGATTGCTCCACAAAATCAAAATTATTTCAGTCAGCAGTAGACTGTTCGTCTACCGGTGAAAATGGGCGAGTACGACCACAAGTGGTGTATCCTCTTCATGCTGCCGCAAGGCATTCCCATATCCAGTGCCTGCAGGTACTCCTTTTTTCTTTGTTATTTTAAAGTAGTAAACCTCAGATGTGGGTAATTTCAAGTATGGAATCGTTTCAGATTTTGCGATTGGGTGGTTTCGACATCGATTTTGTGACTGATGAAGGTTCGGCCCTTCATGTTGCTGCAATTTTCGGTCAAGTCGATGCCGTTAGATACCTGACTGATGAGGGTGTGTTTCAAACTTGCCTTCATTCCAATGAAACTTATCTTCAAATGCTGAGAATGCACAGTATTAATCATTCCATCGGTACATTTGCATTACCTTTTGTTCCTTAACTCTCGCCGTCATGATGAACCTAATTTGGAAGCTGCATTCAAACTGAACAGATCACAAATTTGAACCGCGTTCCACATCTGCATCTTATTGGCTGCTTGCCGAGCTTCACAAGAGCTACGGTCTTGCAGTTCGGCAATCCTCCAATGGGGAACGCATCTCGGTTCACTGATTCACTATCACAATTGCATTGCTTCGCACGTTATCACCGCCTTTGAAGCAGTGGTTGTTGCAGTTATCGAAGCTCTCAAGCGATTGTTTAGGGATCAATCCTCATATGCGTGATAGTAAGGGCCGAACAGCGCTGGAAGTTCTACGCGAGCATGAGCAACATCGTACTTCGGACCTGACTTATATTATTCAAAGCCGAGAAGGATGGAGTGAATGCAGAAAGATCATTGATGGTACGTAGAGTAATTTTCCTAGTTTTGCAAATGAATCAAACAAACACTAGGTATCGAACATACATTCGTTTACTCAGTCATTAGCAGAAGAACTGGTCTTCTGACTTTTATGTTCGCAGTAGAGTAGAATAGTCCATCCCCTGAAATTTTTTTTGTTATAAAAAGGTTATTCATCATTAAGGCTACATCCAACGGCTTGAATCCGATCATTTCAACTCCTCGAGTGATTCGGGTATCGATCGTCGAGATTCGGAGCGAAGTGCCATCGACGACGACGTGAGCGGCGACATTTGGCGACCGCTGCCACATAACTCGAATGGTGAGTCCATAATGATGTCTACCATCACATCAAGTTTTTAGTTGCAGGACCTTTCCTTCTGAGCGCTCAGAATCTCTGAATCCGTGAAATTGTGGTGAATGAGCCATTAGTTAAATATGTAATAATGTTGCGATCAGTTCTTGGTTGCAAGTAATACTCGCACTAGATAGTTATCAGGTACCCGAGATAAAAACGTGATGCATCAGAAATCACGTCCAAATAAATGCTTTTGTTATTTGGCGATGCTTTTTGGTTTTCGTATTCCTCATTAGCGCATACTTTTTGCTTGATTGGTGGGTCGTCGCGAAAATCCCGCCCACACTGCCTATTGGTGAACGGTCACGGAGTCCACCTTTTTTCGAGCAAGTTTCAGGGTATCCTTTAAAGACCTCTACGGAGTATAGCTCGTGTGCGATTGAAGGCTCGGATTTGCGATTCCCTCCTAATGACCATTAGCAAAGTGGCAGGCCACTTGTCAAGGCTGTTCTATACAGAGTTAATGCAGTGCCATATTTAACAATTTTTGTAATCTCTTACAGTGGTCCCTGTTTTTTTCCAATTCACCAAATCTTAGCAATTTGTTTCACATGCCAGCAAAAAGAATCCACTCCTTTGCAGTAAATTCACCCCGGAAACCGTCAACCGAATCTGGTAGCGCCTCATCTCCGATATGTAAATTTCCTACAGATCTAGTAAGTACATCGAAAAACTATTTTCAAACAGTAATTCCTTCTACATCAATAATTGATTAACTGAACCTTACAATCAACTTCAGAACGTTCCTTCGTCGACGGCAACGTTTAACAATGCACCGTTACGACGATCCGATGACACCAGAGAAGGTTCCGTGTGAGTAGTTTTACTTTCGGGCATCAAAACCACTTTTAATAATCAAACTATGTAGCTTTAAAATTTCAGAGAAGACACCTCAACAGTAACCATTTGCTCCCAGCCTACCAGTGTTCCTATTCATCGTACCTGGAATAGCCGGATGTATGGTAAGCAAGGTTTACTATGGCAACCAGGGAAGCGGTGCACATCCATGAAAGGGGAGGGTCGCATTTGTTTCTGTAGGAGGGAGACATTTAGGAGCCTATATCTCAGCATCTCCAATTAAGTAGAAACAGTGACAGTTGCCGACGGTAAAAGTTTACTGTTCTTTCTTATTTCTATTATTATTTCGACAAATTGGCCTTGGCCCTCTTCATTTAGCACAATGTGACTCCTTTGCCGATTCATCGATTTCCATGAACCGATTGACTTTCCGATCCATACAAAGCAAATGTTAGAGAATCTGAAGATTAGAAGCATGACATTTTCGGATTTCCTTTTTAAGAATTATTAGATCATTAGAGGAATTTTGGTACGGATTCTAAAAGTACAGTTCGTATTACAAATCTTCACCTATGGAACCAGTTAAAAGAGGTGAAGGAAAGAGGTTCGTAATGGCTGCTTCCATAGTCCGCGATTCGGCCCGCTAGCGCACGAGCGAGCGAGCTACCGACGGGGGGATTACTCGTCCGGCGGTATCGACCAAGATTCAGTTGTAAACAAGGGGCAAGCGTCGCCCCCGGTCGCTTGCTCGCGGGCCGAATCGCTGGCTATGAAAGCAGCCAACGTATTGCCAGCTTGCGCTTTGCCCCGACGGCAAGAAAAAAAGTTCTCCTGATTCAAGCAATTTTCTAAAACCACTTTTCATAGTTCGCTATATCATCAGATAGAGACAGTTCATTGGTCAATTGCCGATTTTCAGACGCCGAACGCGGAATCGCTCGATTCCCTATCACATCGCCGATGAACAAAACTCGCCATCAAAAGTCTAAACGGACCAGTGACACTCTTCCGGTGAATTTCAGTGGAGTGAGAACAGGAGGAGTACAGCAACGAGGTACTGGTCAACCGAGTAATTTTACATTATTTTTGTTCTCACCTCTCGAGGATGAGCCTTGTCACCCAACTACTTTCGCTTTCCGATTTTCGATCGATCCTACCTATCACCATTTCCCAATGTGAATGAAGTTCCCTTAGCGATAAAATGTGTTCATTTGATTTTTTTTTTGTACTTCTTCAGGTAGCATTCTGCCGTCTGATCCGCAGAACTGTATCTATCGTGCACCACCGGTTTATGACGTCTGGCATCAGAAGTTCGTACAAAGTGATGGGATCACGCACACATATAATCCGGCATTTCCTTATGATAATATCCCGAAAAATCTGCTCACATATGACAATGCACCACCAGGCCATAGGTTTATTTCTTACTTATTTATTTTGTTTTAAAATAATCATTGCTTTTTGAGCTACGAGGGACACAAGCCAAACGCCGGGTGTTCTGTGCAGTTGATATTCATTACCAGTTTCGATTTAGAAAATGAAACAGTAAACATTATCCAATCACTCCAAAACTCCGCCCCCTGGGATTCCTCCGTAGATAGTATGTACTAACTATTATGGCGACCAGCCATTGCTCGTCTCAGTGCTTTTATGATCCGACAATTAAATCTGCCAGCTGGTTGATCCCAAACTAAATTGGGTTATGCAGAATGGAGCTAGTTTGGAAAAATCAGTAACTTCGGCTCTTCATAGGAGCGAAAACTAGAGGAAGAGGAACAGAGCTCTTCACGGGGCTATGTTACATCACAATCAGGCGTTCGAGCCAGGACCCACAGACAAATAACTGCTTGTTCGATGATTGAATTTCGCTTTATTTTCGATGAAAGGTGTTAATTAAGTGGATGGGATCACGACTGCTCTCACACCACTGGAAGGGTGGTTGGTTCGTCTGTGGCAGCCGCCGTACGACGACAAGATGGTTCGCAAACTCTACCGACATGTGAGCTGCTCTTGATATGCACACATTATTGTTTTTGTTTTCAACTTTTTTTATTGATTTTTGCTACCTTGCGATCAATAACTTACTCATGCACTTCCGTTGAGAACTGCATTATAGCTCGTCCACGAGCACGCCCGTCTTTGGTGAACACTTTCGGTGCAACCACAGAGAGCCCGCTTGAAGAGCAACTTCATGAAAAACGACTAAGTATGTACTTTGGCTTTTTTCCTTCCCTATAAAACGACCCTCATTGATTGTTTAATATATGGATCTCAAGTGTAACATTACGAAAGATGTCGCAGCCATGTTCTGCAGCTATATGGGAAGGGGACGGTGGGGTCTAAAACCGGGAGGGCGAGAAGTTTTTTGTCCCTGAGTCCTGATAGTGAGAATAACCATTTTGACCAGTTGGTTCGCTGTATCATATCACATAGGCCTGCATCAATTAACAGTAGAGTTCCTGGCCGAGCTCTTACAATTAGCCATATAGAACCAAAGATCAAAGGTAGTGCCAATATCGAGGAGAAGAGCAGAGCGGACTTCATTCTTTATCCCCCTACCCAACCACTAGCTGCTTTCATAGTCTGCCGGCCGGGGGTGGCGCTTGGCTCTTGTTTGCAACGAATCTCGATCGATACCGCAGGCCGAGTAGTCTCCCGGCCGGTGCGCGCGCTTGCGGGGCGGCCGGCGGACTATGAAAGCAACGACGGCTCGCTACGCCGAAAACTTGCATTTACAGAATGTCTTCGTCACGATTTTAGAGCTTACCTACCAAATTTCAGATGACAGTTCGTTTACGTTACGTGGCCGAGAGGATTCACTTGGTCTGAGTACGAGTCCTCAGTTGAATTCACGTGATCCTTCAGTCACGTTCGCCTGTTCTACTCTAGGGAGATGTCAGTGTTTTCATTGTTGCCCTTAAAGTTTGCAGTATTCTTCTTTCAAGGGTTACTGAAACGAAGTGTTATAGCAGCTTCACCGGATACTCTTTCAAATGCTACCCCAACAGGTCGAGCCCCCCTCGCTATGCCTGAGGAGCTAACCGGAAGCACATCGACGAGCATTTTAAGCTCGAGTGTCTCCCCTGAACGGGACGCCGTTTCGGTATGGTTTCTACATGTTATTTGACGCCTTTTTTCGTTATTTCGAAATTAGTTTATAGCTATCGTCTTACTGTTGGAAAGTAGTATAATGATAATTAAGCTCTTGCAGTCACTTGTTATAATTTTCTATGTCGTATCTTATCGCTCTATCATGCTGTAGATATTTCAGCGTCTCGTCTCATCGAACAACAGCGGTGCCAATTCTTCGACACCACAAGCGGTAAGTGTACAAATCAGGAGTGAATACGCTCCAAAGCCTATGATTGGTTCTTCAATTGCGGTCACCAATCATAGGCGTTCAGCTCCGATTCACACTTCTCTTCAGCGGCCTATATTTTCATGATCTGTGTATTCCATTTCGCTAATTAATGAATTTTTCAGGATGACGATCGGGTAGACCCTAATGATCGTTCCAGTACCGATTTTTCCCTTTCAACTCTGACTGTGAACTACTCTGACGGGCCACCTTCACCAGATTCGTCACGGAGTAAAATTTTCAACACACTCTGTTCCAATGTATGCCATTGTCATTCTTTCTACGTTTGAAATTGCTACTAATGTAGCTAATCAAGTAATGTAAATTGCTTTTTCAGTCTGAACTGGGAGACAAATTAGCGCTTTCTAAACAATTTCCGCTGTCACCGTCTGCGACAGGTTCGTTTTGACACGTATCTAGTTTTTTTTTGGCTTCAATCGAGTATCGAGAACTTACTGGTATCGGTTTAATGATAGTGAATGTATGGTTATGGAACGCTGCTACCACTCTTGATAGAGCATTTAGGACCGCTGCATTTATTAGGCTTTAAGCCACCAGCTCATAAGGGTGGGAGAATGTGAAGGTGACATGTGTCCGCCTTCCTAGACGGGTGGCCATGAGGCGTACTCTCCTGGGTAATAAGTGGCACCCTACCGTTGGTTAACCTACTAGCCTTTTCGCAGAACATAAAAGTTGAATCAACCCCTTTACGACTGTTCTTGCATCGGATCAGGGTGGGCACGACCTTCAGGTCCCTTCTTACCAGGGGTGCTCGGACTTTGAAGTTAGTTATACTTAATTTCCTTCTTTTCCTCTGATGAATTCTTCAATTTCTTGTAACTCTGCAAACTGTTATTGATTGCGTAATGCCTGTAATAACAGTTTAAAGCGTGTTATCCAGAGTGCAGTAGCGGAACGATGGCATCATCTTGCTCTTTGCCCATGGTTTCTCAAATATCAACTACTCCCCCATCAGATTCGTCCTTCTATAAGCTATATCATCAAAACAGGTGCATCTTATAAAATGTTTCACTCTCTTAATTATTCCTATACAAAAAGTATATTTAGCGCTTCCAGTGCAGAGACAAGTCCACCGATTGGTGTAAAATTACGTCCTCAGTGGGAGTCAGTCACGGTTCGAGCACTAGAAAGACAGTCAAGTAAAGGCAGCGAAAATCAGTCTATCAACGAGCTCGACGAATGGAAAAAGGTGAGAGCATGTCGTAGACATGAACAATGAAGTATTCCAAGAGGCTGCTTTCATAGTCTGCGATTTGGCCCGCGAGCACGCGAGCGAGCGACGGGAGCTTGCCCCTCGTTTAGAACTGATTCTTGGTCGATACCGCCAAACGAGTAGTCCCCCGTCGCTCAGTCGCTCGCTCGCGCGCTCGCGGGTCAAATTGCGGACTATGAGAGCAGCCCGACAGACCGAACCGACAACGAGTTTCCCAGTGCGCTACCTGAACCCTGTAATAGCCACCACAGTCGGGACAGAATAGACCCCAGACGACCAGAGTACGCATCGCGTATACGGCTCATCACATTAATGAAAGGACAAAGAGTGGGTGACTTAAGATAAGAGAAGTAATCAATAATCCTATACAAGGAACGCTCCTGAATTACCGAGTATGTAATAAACAGACTGGAAAACGTCCTTTCTTGAGTTATAGTGATTTCCCGAGAAACGATGACCAACCCTGCTCTTCGAACATGGCTAGCCTCCCATCTTTCAAGAACACAGTCTAGACTACCAACTTCATTCGAACGACTTAGATTGATGACATCTTGTCGTCATTTGGCGGAGCCGTGTGTCGAGAATCGGTGTTCGCTGCCAACTATGAGCCTCAGGTCGCTGTGTTTCTTCGAGATCGTCGATCTCAGGCTCTCACACTTCAGCTCACGTCACCGCCGTCGGCTACCCGCCTCAGCTCCAGTACTGCCTCATCCTCGTCGTATAAACTTGATCCCGTATGTGGTTTAACTATGCTCTTCTTCGATTACTGTCCAAGTACTGATTCACCTTCCCCTTAGGACTGCGTGAATATGAGCCACTGGCTGTGCACCGAGGTTGGCCTTTCAAGTCAAAAAGCCTCTGAAGTTGGTCGAACACTGACGAAGGCTGGTTTTGACAAAACTACGCAGTTGGTAAGTTTGTTATTTTCTCCGAACAATCTGTCCGATTTGGTCGTTCCTCTCTATATATGTAGCTATCGTCATAATATTTTCAGGAAGGCTGCCTCACTGCCAGAGAGTTAACTGCACTAGGAATCGAAAAGTCCATTCAGCAACAGATTCTATCCTATCTGGCTACCACAACTGATACCCGACCTAATGCTAGTAAGTTTTGTTATGACAATGAGCATTGTTTTAGAAAAGTTGAAAATTTGTTGGTTTTATTTTTCCAGATAATTTCAATTACGTTTCTGATTGGTTATGTTCGCTGGAGTTGACTGACTATCTTGGAAACTTTGTTACTGCCGGCTTAAAGTCAATGTTGATTGTTCGGACGGCAGATCTTACTAGGGACCACTTGGAGGTGATTACTTTTTGTCGTGAACAATTGAATATCCCCAGTTATACAGTTATCATTTCAAATAATAATACTGCTTTTCTTGGGCTACCAACACTTCCTTTTGTGTCGTGTATATGCCGTGAAGCATTTTACNCTGCAGAACGCGCTTTCCATACAGGACCATCAGTCTTTAACAGATCCGATTCGATCAATGATAATTTCGACGAACCGACAGAATTAGAGCCCGCAATCATACTTTATTTTTCTAGAAATTCTTTTTTTTTGTTTTTGTACTGGTGAATAACACCAGCTTCGTTTTTCATCCTGATCTTATTTGGCTGTTTTTTTTTATTGTATCCAATTTTCAGAAGATGGGTATTACTCTACCAGGTCATATAGCACGAATTCTTCACTCTCTGATGGAGGCCAAGATAGAGGAAGCGTGTCAGAGGAGTGAGCGACTGAGAGAGATGCGACTAGCTGTCACGTCTGCTACCCCAACATCAAGTATTCTCAAAGAAACTTCCTCCGAGGAAAGGTAAAAAAAGAACGATTTTCGAATTGCTGATATAGTAGATTGTTCCATACTGAATAGTAAATGAGAAGTACTGCCACTCACACCCGACCTCATCTGCACTTTCAGCACGTCGGCCTTTGAATGTGCCGACATTAGTGGAAACGAGGCAGTGAAACGTGACTTAATACACGGCCATGCCTCTTTCTCAGCGCATTATCTTGGCAGTATGGAGATTTCCAATATTGATGGTACCGAGGAAAGTCGACGAGCAATGGCTAGACTCAAGGTAAAAAAC